AAGAGCGTGGGCTCAGGGGTGATCTGATGGCCACCTATAAGTTTATCAGGGGTGACCAGCAGTATCTGGGGGAACATTTGTTCACCAGAGCGCCCCAAGGGATGACGAGGTCAAACGGTTACAAACTACTGCAAGAGTGATTCAGGCTGGACATAAGCAAGAATTTCTTTACTGTCCGAGCCCCCAAGGTCTGGAACAGCCTGCCATGAGAGGTGGTTCAAGCACCTACACTGAACACCTTCAAGAGTAAATGGGATGCTTATCTTGCTGGGATCCTATGACCCCAGCTGACTTCCTGCCCTTCAGGCAGGGGGCTGGACTTGATGATCTTCCGAGGTCCCTTCCAGCCCTAATGTCTATGAAATCCCCATTATATTCTATGGCCGAATCTCCGAATCTTTTCCAAATTTTTTCAGAAGCTCTGAATCGATTTGGAAAGCCTAAGGCTTCCTGTATTTCAATTTGGATTTGTAGATTCAGCCTCTGAATCACCTGAATCATCTCTGAATCCAAATCATGATCCAAAGCTTTGCACAGCCCTAAGCCCTTAACAATCCAGGGGGTTGGACTAGATGACCTCTGGAGGGCCCTTCCAGCTCTACTTCTCTAAGATTCTGTGAAATAAAATCCAGTTAGGTATTTTTTGTGTTTTATAAATGAATTCCTTTAGTTTATTCCCTTGGTATTTTTTAACCTAGAAAATCATATACCTTTTGATGTTCCACAGCTGCAACCCTAGAGAAGGATTTTTTTCAGTTTTGTCATTTCATACAGAGGCAGTACCAACTGGGATCTAGATTGTATCTGATCATCTTGGAGCTCTTTAAAATCTTCCTTATCCTCTTCTTATATTAGTGCACTTTATTAGCTGCAAAATTCTATTAACCGGCATCTGAGGGACACGGCAAAAGCGAAACCGGAAGTACCACTTCCGGGTTTCACCGCCATGAACAGAGTTTTTCTTTGCCATTTCTTCAGCCCACATCCCAGGGCAAAGCATCCTGTGCAGGATAAAGCAGCCTGCACAGGGACCTCCTCCCTGTCCCCCAGCACACTGATGCTGGGTGTGCACCAGACGATGCACATTTGATTAACTGGAATACTTGATTAACTGGCATCCCCCATTCCCATGGGATGCTGGATAACAGAGCTTTTACTGTAAAACTCTTGGAAATTATGTTCAGTACAACAGTCTTTCTAATCTTTTGTTCACATCTATTTGAACCTAGATGAGGAAGAAAAAAAAAAGGAAATCTACTTTCCCTTTAATGTGTAAAGGCTGTTGCTGGTTCAGATCTTACCACAAAAATGATCAGATATGTGAAATACAAGTATGCTGGGAGTACTGTGGCAGTAAGAGCGCCATGGACAAGAACCTCCTGATGTGATTCCTGTATTGCCTGGGTAATTTATTCAGCCTTTGCCCTGCAGTACACCCCAGTCAGTGCCTGAGGGAATCATTTATAAGTGACACAGAGCTCCATACTGGTATTTAATTTATATAGGAGAAATGTTTTGATGAAGAACCTAAAATGAGGCTTTTAAATTGATGTTAAGATTTCTGTTAGTTTCCTGTAACCTTGTTAAAATTTTTCTCTTTCTGATTCCCAAGACATATGCTTGGAATTTTTAACAGATTTTCCTCTTAAATATGTGTTCCTCTGCTATTTTAGAACAATCCAATTCTAAATTACACATTTTGAAGTGATTAATAAATTCAGAGGGTTTTTTTTTATTGTAAGCAATACGTTTGTTAAGGAAAAGGCAGTTATTGCTACTAGTGGCTTTAAGGATGACAATTATTTGAATGTGACCTAATCATGCAGAAACTAAGGGATAAATCCTATTTAATTTTGCATGCCTACGTAAAGCAGGTGCGCACACAGCTGCAGAACTGCCACTTTTAGCACTACACCAAGTTTCAGGTTCCGTTTTGCCACAAGTTGAAGCTAGCATCAGGAGAGGGAGATGTGTGGGACCAGAAGGAAGTGAGCAAGCTAGAGATGTGTATAGAGGTGTGTAGCTTAACAAAACAGGTTCTACTGTAGCTGGGATGAAGGCTGAGTTCTTGTGTTGGCCCTTGCTGTCAACATGGCAAAAACATTTCACCAGTCATGTTTATCCAATTAATCTTAAATGCAAGGTACAATGACTCAGTTTCTATATCAGACTATGGCTATGCCTATCCTGTTGTCTGGTGGTTAAAACGTCTTGCTCAGAAGTAAGAGAGAGATTCAAACCCCTGGATATCCACAGGTCAAAAAACCAAACAAACAAACAAAAACCGTGGACCCCCCTGCAAGCAGTGCATGCTAAAAAGTGGAGCTGGGCCACACAGAGCCATGCTGCACCTGCTGGCCAGGCTCCATCCAGCAGGATCATTGTGGCTGCAGCCACAGTGCAGCTCCCTTGGGGAGGCCCCCAGGACCCCAGGTAAGGCACGCATGTCTGGATGCTCCCAGCATGGCTTTTGTAGAGTGAAATATTGTCTCACAAATCTGCTGGAGTACTTTGACAGTGTAAACAAGCACATTGTTAAGGGGAATCTAGTTGATATAATATATTTGGATTTTCAAAATGTTTTTGACAGGGTCTCTCACCAAAATATCTTAGACAACTGAGTTATGGAGAGAGAAAGTCATTTCATGGATTGAAAGCTGATTAAAAGAAAGGAAACAAAGAGTATGGCTAAATGGTTACTTTTCAGGATGGAAGAATGTCAGTAATGAGGTTTCTAGGGATCTGTGGTGGGTTAATTTTGTTCAACATTTTCAAATGATATTTAAAAGGAGCTCAAAGTGAAATCTCAAGATTGCAGATGATACTAAATTATTCCAATAAGTTAAATCAAAAGGTCATGGTGAGCATCTGCTGAAAGATCTTTAAAAAACTAAGTCAGTAGGCAAAAAGTGGCATAAAAACTTCTGATCTGACAAGTGCCAAATAATG